TCATAATGGTACTATATATGGAGCCTCTGGGTTATACACCTTACATTTTATACGGCTTCTTACAAAGGGTTTTGTCTTTCGTAAACTGTAGACCGACGCCCTCAGCCTTTCGCCCCCAACCCTCCCACGAATAAAAGGGCCCAGGATGGTCAGACTACAATAGGGTGATAGTATGACTACAAGGGCTGTAGGCGGACCGTACTGATTATTCGGACCTCTGTAGTATAACCACTCTATTGTCTACCATGTATTGCTTGCTCAACTATTGGGGCCGCGATTATTGGAATGAAGTTTCTGTAGGCGCAAAAAAGTTAAAGTTCGTGAAGCTTGCTTGGTTGGAGTCCGGAAAACCTTTGAGGAACACTGGACAGGGGAACCCACAAGCACTCTTGCCGGAAGTACGAAATAATCCACAAACCCTGAACTGTGAACCCTGGACCCTAAACCCAAAACATCCCTAAATCCCCTAAAGCCTAAACCCTGCACCCTAAACCCTAAACATCCCGCAATCCTCAACATCCCTGAACCCTAAACCCTGCACCGCACACCCTTACAAACGAGAGTTTATGGTTCTCCTGGCGGAGGCAAGAAGTCATAATAACAAAAGTAATATTAGCAAGGGTTGGACATTGGAGAACTGAGCACCATGTTAAATAGCAACATCATATACAAGGCCTCTGGAATCTTGGAGGTCTGGCTTCTTTCTAGTTTTTGGCTTTAGTGTGGGACCTGAAGTGTCGGGATTTGCGTACTGCATGGAAACGTTCCCTCTCCCGAGAGTTTCGGGGTCAGGGCTTTAATGAAACACAAATGCCCGACGATTTTGGGGCTCCTTGTTATGGCTTCTTCCGCAATATAGAAGTCCTCCGGGCTTTGCTTTTTTCTGTGCTGCGCAGCCAACCCCTCTGCCACCGCCATGCGAAGCTGAGGCACAGGAGCTGCGGGTTTTGCAGATCACTGAAGTTGAGGAGGAGCTTTCGGCTTAGAGTTCAAAAGGTCTAATCTAGAATGCTGCTCACCAGTTCATAATCACAACCTATATCCCTCAACCCTACGAAATAGTAGGTTATGACCCCTTAAGTATAGTGTCTAACCCTTAAAACGGTAGGTTTGTGGATGCCCTGGAAGCACCTAGATACAAAACAACCCAAACCCCGGAGAATACGACTCCTAAGCTGTAAAGACCACAAAGAAGGTACTATGTCCAGACTTCAGCCCCCAGGGTAAGTACTCGAAGTCTTGGATGATAAAATGGCCTCAGTAATTAGAATAGGGTTTTGGCGTACGTTGTAGCATAACTTAGATAAGGAGAGCACAAGAAGAATATATGGCTTCCATAGGCCTAAGGGTCCATGTACCCAAATAGTATATACTTTGGCCCCAAAGTACCTATATAGGGACTACTTTAAGGCCACAAAGTATATATTATTTGGGTACATGGACCCTTAGGGTAGTACCGCAGAAACTGCTAAGCCGGTATAACTCCTCAGCCCAACGGCCCTGGTGTTGACAGGGCTTCTCATCTCCACACCGCCGACAGGCTGCGGAGCGGGAAATCTTGGGTCTGGAAGGGTTCATATAGAGGCCTTTTAATAATTAGCACAAGGTTTTGGGGCCCGTTATACTATTTCGCTAATAAGGAACCCCCAAAATAATATTGGTAATGATTTAGGCCCCTATAGCAACCTCGGTACATATGAGAAGAGTTTCGCGCTCAGCGGATGCAGATGGCCCAAAAGCACATAGGGTTTAGGGGTTTTGGGTGTATGGGGGTTTAGGGTTTCCGGTTTTAGGGCCAAGAGGAGAGCCTAGGGTTCAGGGTCTTGGCCCCTGCTGTGCTTGTGAAGTCCTACTTTGTCTGGGATCAGCTGGAAGGCTTTGGATATATAGTGTGTTTGGGAGTGTAGCCTGATGCATAGGCGTTTGAGTTTTGTGTAAGGTTTAAGCATTAGGGGCATGTTGTACGGATGCACTGACCAACTTTCCACGACATTAACTGTTTGCTTCGTGCTGGAAGAACTCAAGAGCCCAAGCTTTCAATGTCGCTGAAAGGATTTCCATGGGCATGTGCAAATATCCTGGTAAGTCAAATTTGTCATGTGGCAAGTTAAGGTTCGAAACACCTACATGGAACTAAGCACAAACCAGTTATCAGCTTGAACGAACCTGTCCCATGCGCCTGTAGAGGCTTCCAAACCCTCTACAACTCTACAACCCTTACTTAGAGGCCCAGGGGACTTAGTAAGTCGGTTATATAAGTAGGGTTATAATCGGCGTAACTCCATTTAGGATACTTATAACTCTACTTACAACCTACTTACTAAGTCCCCTGGGCCTCCAAGTACAAGTACCCTTGAGCCTTCGAGTCGGCGAGCCGCCTCTGCTAAAAGAGCTGCACTCTGGATTAGGGTTTAGGGTTTAGGCTTAGGGTTTAGGCACTCTGGAATCCCAGAAGCTCCGTCTACTGAAGCCCAGTATACGAACGTCAACGCGGAACAGTAGAAGACCCGCAGAAAGAATCGCGCTAACATGCCCTCCCTACCAATATCCACATCTATCTATATATTATGCACGTGCACACACACATACATACATATATGCATACATACATACATACATACATACATACATACATACATACATGCATATGTACGTACGTACGTACATACATACATACATACATATATACATGCATATATACTTAAGAGCGCCTTTCCTTGCAGACACTGAGAGACCATGTCAGAATTATTTTAGTGAGATGGGCTTGAGTTCGTAGTGATCACAAAGAGTGATCGGAAACCGTGTTGCAATTGAAGAGTGAGTCTGAAATGATCATAAAGAGTGATCGGAAAAATCGCTACTGGTTGACAGTGATCCTGAATCGAGAAACAGGAGTGATTTAGGAGTGAATCTGGACGTCACTCCGCTGCGCGCTTCATCGTGCTGCTCGACGTTGCGAGGTGAGACAGACTGTCTTTCGGGAACACAGTATGTCCATATTAGTATATAACCATACACATGAGAGAGAGAGATGTATATATATATATATATAATATGTATACAGGCATTCAATGGGTTTGCAAAGCCGGGATTTCACCGCACGGCGTTACACTGCAACGTAGCCAGCGTAGCTCACATGTCCTTGGCGGTGCAAGCATGGAAGTGATCGACGACGAACTGCTCGAGTCCAACTGGGGGGGCTTGGCACAAGAAGCTGCTGTGAGTACGCAGACACTGTCTGAGCTTACGGCTGAAGCAGAGGCTTGTCACTTGTCTGAAGGGTCTGCCTCCTGTCCAGCAGTAGAAGTTTTGGAAGGTTCAGAGTCAGAATCTGCACGACCGACGGAGTCCTGGTATCTAAAAGCCGGCAGCCCTTGGTGGGCCTATCGCTTGATACACCTAACCAAGCGGTACACTCGTGAAGAGTGCCGTCGTCCAGTCAATATCGTGTCTGGCTGCACTGGCATCAGCGCAGAAAGCTTTGTCATGCAGGCGGGATGGGGCCTATGCACGTTGCCTACCAGAACCGAGAAAATTCCTGCGGAGTTGTATGTAGACAGTGTATAGACTGCATCCGTGGTGTCGTGAGGTGAGGCTGCAGCAACTGTGTTAGTCGTTGGAATCTATTTGACCGCCCGCAGGCTATGAACATGCCGTTCAACGTCTTGTCCGCTGCGGATCCGGCTACACGATGTCGTGCCTTTGCAGATGCCAACCTGGAAGCTCACAGGGCGACGCATTGGTTTAAGAGCCTAGAAGCACAAACGGCAGGCGCACCCTGCCTGCGACACCCCTACTCAAAGGGATGTGAAGCGTGTCCTGTTCTTGCTGACATCGGAATACTTGGCACACCATGTCATCCATTCTCCGTCCAGCGTGAGGGCCGTTGGAAGCAGGGCAGCGTGGACGCGCATGCAGAGTTCGATGTCAGCATGCATCAGTCACTGGCGTGGATGCACAAGTTCCAACCAGCAGCAGTCATCTTTGAGCAAGTCCTCGGATTTGGCAAGCCCTTCCATAGTAACACCAAAGAGACCCCGCTAGCCCGGTTGCACAGCTGCACACAGATTTCAGAACAGTGCTGTCAGAGACACACATTGTCACCGTCTGGCTGGCCGCTGAGGTTCAAGTATCTGTTGGATCAACAAGATCTTGGACCTGGGTACTGGTTGGTGACTCTGGAGCTGGACATGAAAATCTGGCTCCCTGTATCTCGGCCAAGGCTCGCTGAGGGTTTCTCTCAGCTGCTGCACCGCGTAGATGCTAAACCATCGACTCCAGATTCGCCCTATAGCCGAGCATTGAGTGACGGCCACAGCCTCCACTTTTAGCCTCCAGTCGTGATCTAACAGCCCACCAATCCCTTGATTTGGAGCATCAAGAAGGGCTTATGTTTTCGGGCGTCGAAGACAAATAAATGTTCTGGATCCTTTGCCATCCTAGTTTCTGAGCGTTTCGTTCTGATGTAATATCCCAGAGAACCCAATACACCTTAAATTAAGGAATACACCTTAAAATATACGGGCCTTAATATTATTATTATTATTATTAATTACTATTATTATTATCATTATTTAAAGTACATTCCTTAATTACGGGGTGTTGGGTTCTCTGGGATGATGTGATCGCAGACTGTCTGAAAGTCGTGGATGTTTCCTCTCTTAAGCCAGAAACGAAGCATTCCCTCAACCCTTACCACTTGCTAGACTAGACGAGACAAGACTTGTGCTCCTCATGATCTGTTGGTTGTCACATGTCCAGCTGTCGTAGCATGTCACTTGCATGCTCTATTCGCGTGCTACCTCCAAGCCTAGCAGCGCCCAAACTTGCTTTCAAACAACATAAACAAAAAGTCTATTCTTATCTAGTCCGTTCAAGTCTCAAGAGTCTAACGGTCTAACGTTGCGATCCGATTCTACAATGCAGCGCGCGCGGCATGTGACAAATTAGCGCTTTCAGAAGTTTAGGACTGCTACACGCAGCCCGTGACAGCACGAGCCATGGCTGACACAGATTGGGATGCCGTTTTTCTCGACGAAGTCAATGATGGTGAGCAGAGTGTGGATGATGATGTTGACATAGGCCCCGGAGTGCCAGACACAGACGCTGGCCTAGATCATGACCCTTCCGATTTTTTGGAGTCTGGGCCTCCGTTAGAAGACGTAGCGGGCTTAGCAGAGGTGAACGCCCCTCGCAAGCGGGGCCGCCCTGTTGGCACCTGTGGCAGCAAACTTCTGCGTGAACAGCAGAAGGCTGCACAAACGGAATTGCGGCACAGGGCGGAGGCCAGCCGCCCGCAACCGGGCAGCATAGCGTACGCTAGGGAATGTAAGAAGATGCGCAAGTCGCAGTCTACAGTCAGATGTGCGGGCGACGTGGATCAAGCGATGCCTGAAAGATCCAGCATCGTTTCTGTCATGGACCCCGGTTCTTCAATGTGGACGTTCTTGTTGGACATCCAAGCCCCGCTTCACCAAAGTCTCGTTGCTGCTGCACAGTTCTCAATGCAGCATCAAGAGGCCGACGCTCGAGATCAATCCGAGACCGCGACACTTATGAGCCTGAAGGCAGCTGCGATCATGTCTGACAAGGCACTGAAGTCTGCTATGAAGAGCCAGGGGCACTCTGACACGCTTCGTGTTGAGCGCCTCGCTACACGAGCTGCATGTGCTTGTGTGTTGGCGGGTGGGGCTGCGTGGGGCGCGGTGCTGAAATCCATAGCGGAGCAAAAGGCGAAGTGGAGGGCCATCCTGTTTATTGAGAAGGTCCGCTATGATGAAACTCCGTTGCGGGTTCGAGTTGAGGGGCAGCAAGCTTCGGGCTCGAAAGCAGGCTCCTTGGAAGCCTGCCAGCATGCGAAAGTATTCCAAGCAGAGATGACAGTCCAGATGGTGCTGCAGGAAAAGTCTTCAGGGCGCCGTGTACTTTTTGCCGGCTGCCAGCCGACAGTCCTGCAGACAATGGACCGCACTACGGCAGAGTGCTGTCTCAAGGCACTTTGCAATGTACGCGCGCTCATTCCCGGTATCGAAACTGCTTCTACAATATTCGAGAATTACCTGCGTGTTGCCGTGCCTTTGCATTATTAAGACTAGTGTGCCCCCAAGGCAAGATGCTGTGGACTGTAGCCCGACGAGCGAGGATACTCTGTATGTCGGGTTGATAAGGGGTGGGCTGATATGTTTTGCAAAATAGTCCATAGTAACCATAGTATTAAATATTAGAGTCCCAGGTCATGGACAGATATGGAGCCAACTTTCGTTCTGAGAGAGCAATGGCTCAACAGGCCATGAAGGCTGGTCGCAACGAGAGCTCCTGCGCACAAAAGTGTGAAGTCCACATTATAGCACAAAGCAACAAAGCCGGCATGGATGTCTTGACGAATGACATTTCGGGTTTGTTGTCCATGGCATTAGCGCAACAGGGCAGCGGTACGCTTGGCACCCTTCGTGCCTTGCTGGGCGACGTCATTTTGGAACACCTGTCTGTCTCGTACGCAATGCCCCCACAAGGAGCAGTCTCGAAACATAGGTCAGAGATCCACGACTTGTTTGTTCCTATCCCTCTTGACCCCGACACCGGCGCTGCAACTGGAGCCGGGGCGGTCTTGGCGATGCAACGAAGATATGTGTTGGCCTCCCTCTTCAACGGGGATTTAGAGGAAGAGTGCATCACGCACTTTTGCCCTTACGGGTGCTGCGCCACGTGGGAAGAGACAGAGATGCGGTTCCGGACCCTGGCGCCGTGGGCACTTCTGCCGCACAAGGCGCCGCGCTACGCCAGACAGAGGTGGACGAATCACGGTGCCGCAGTCAATTGGTCTGGGTTGCTCGCAAGTCACCACAATCTCCTGTCGAGACTGATGCACCGGTGGCTTGGCGCACCGACTGGGAAACCATCGACTCCGGCGACCAGAGTGGACGCAGAATCCGCGGCCTTTCTTGAGGATATGGCGGTAGACCTGGGGGATGTGCCGGATGATGCAGGCGATCCCGGGCTGAATGCGGAGGGCGATGCAGATGCGGAGGATGATGATGATGCAACTTGGCCGTTTGCTCAGGTTTGTAAGCACTACTATAACTATAGTTCCTGCTCAGGATACTTTCCTATTCTATATTGCTGCTCATACTCCTGAGGACCTGCAGGCGGCCGATTGGGTCAAACGGAATCGTGCCTACAAACGCAATGCTCGCCGCTGGGCAGACTCAAACCCAGGGCCGCGATTGTGCGTGCTGAAGACCGCGATGCTGGTTATGGCAGCCCTGATGCACCGTGCCCTCCAAGTAGCTGGGGCTGAGTGGCAACGGCAGCAAGAGAAGAAAGCAGCGCAGGGCCAAGACCGCTCGTACCGCATGCTGGAAGCAGCGTTCTCGCAGGATCTGCGGGACTATTTTGTAGGCATGATTCGAATCCTGCTGCAGCTGCCTCAAGGGCTGTCTCTTTCAAAGATGACGCTTCCGCTCAAGCTGCTCATGCTACGGGTTGTTGCCCGATCCATGTGCAGCCTACACGTCTTGCTGCGCGTGGCGCGAGAGATGCATCCATATTTGCTGTTCCGCTCCCTGTTGACCCACGAGTACGACAAGACACCACCCTGTTTGTGGGACTCCTTGAGAACATTCTTCCACGAGAGTTTCCCAGACTTCTCGGAAGATGCTGGCGCATGCTTGGAAGCCTTGGCAGAGACCATGGACAGGTGCATCAGTACCATCGAGGCGAGACACGCGCTCACTCGCCGGTTGACGGTGGCCCGGGGAGTACAGACGTGGATACCGAAGTTGGCCTCTACTTCTGCGGAGTTTTGTTTGAGGCAGGTCTTGCTTCAGCAAGGCCCAGAAGCATTTGCGCCTCAGGCTTCCGATGAGGCGGCCCGCAAAGCCAAGCCCGAACAGAAGCGACGTGGTGGCGGGGGCGCTTGTCGTGCATTTCTGCACGAATGCAGCGCTGGTCGCAGGTTCACCAAAAGCAGCTTGCAGGAATTAATGCAGGAGTTTCGTTCCCTAGACCCGAGTGCTCTGGCTTACTACGAAGACTTGGGCAAGCGGGCGGCATTCGCGCATCGCAACGGCTACCACTCATTCGGCGAGCGCAAGCCACGTGTGCCTCGTGCGGCTCAACCACCCTTGGCCGACAATGCACCTGTGGTATCCGGGCAGCGCCATTAGCTTGATTTGTGTTTTGCGCGGGAGAAGTTGGCCCCATGACTTCAAGTTGAAAGTTAGACTGCATTTGACACGGAACTCAACATTATTCAACGCAGGGTTGGCAGTCAGATTCGTAGGCGTTGCTGTTGGAGACACTCGGAGAGAGAGTGAACCTTGGGCTCAAGGGTACTTCTTGCTCTGCCAAGGATGATGGTGCGGCATTGGTACCTGGAGCCTATGCTCCTCTGATTCCTGTGGTGGACCGCAGCCTGAAAGAAGGTATGCGTGAAATTCGGGCAACCATGCGTGAGAAACAGCGACAGCAGAAGGAGAAGCGTGAGAAGGAGGAGGCCGCGTTGTCTGAGTGGCAGCAGAACTACTTGGAGGAGTCCCCCAGCCCTTTTCCAGCTGTTCCTGCTCACGCCTGCTGTTCTTCGGCAGCGGCCGGAACTGGGCAGTTGCACGGCTACCTACGATGGTTCCCTCCATGCACGCAGTTTGCCAAGGCCATGGAGTCTAGAGTCTAGACTCCAGACCCCTGAAACGCTTCCCGTGCCCTGTGTTCTTTTGCAAGCATCACTTGCGACATCCTTCCTGCCCCTGTGAACAGGCCGTGCTCAGCGACGCGAACGCTACCTCGAGATCTTGTGGCCTTCGCACGAAGCTGGAGAACCATTGGGACGATACTTGTGCACTGATTGTGCATGCTGAGCAGCCGGAAATCAAGTTTGACAAAGCCATTTCCAAGAACTTGTTCAGGCCTTCTAAGTGCTACTTGACAGGTCTTTGCATCTGTGGGCAGGGCCCACCTGAAAACACTTACGCGATAAGGGTGGTGGACAGAATCACCCAGATTATGAAGCAAGCGTTCTGGTCTAAAGGATCCGGTAAGGACCGCAAGACCTCGAAGCCGCGAGAGCTCTTGGAAAGCTTGCAAGTTGTGCTGGCTCTTCGCCCCACGGGCGGCCAGGACGCTGAGGACAGAGGCTTGTGGCTCCTTCTTGGATTTGTCAACTACAAGACCTGGAAGGTGACAGCTCTAGAGCTGATGTGCACGGCTGTCGCGCCGGACGGGTCGCGAGCGTGGCTTCAGCTGGTCGATGTCCAGGCCTCGGACATGGAGTACTTCTTGCAAGAGCTTGACGACGAAGATGACAAGGAGCATCTGCACCAGCTCGGCTTGCTGGCGCGCACCTTGCTGGAAGCAGTGAAAACCAAGCTATCGTTCCAACAGTCTTACGTGGCATCCTTTTGGAAAATGGCGCCCAGCGTTTCCCCTGGCACGACCCTGCTGGAGGAGATGCTGCCATGCTTTCTACAGGTGATTCCCCTGGGCGATGTGCCGGAGCGTTCTGTGTGGGACGGGCCTGCAGCGGAGGACGATCAACGTCGCCTCGGGACTGTGGCATAGTCTGCTTTCTCCTCCTTTCCTTTCGATTCACTATAAAGCCACTGTCAAAGTTTTTTACATATGACGTCCTGCCACGAAGCAAACATAGGTAGCGACCCGGGGCGCGTACGTGTTGAAATGCAACAACAATAAGATTTTATAGCACAAGACAGCCTGTCTACATCTTCAGTGTGAACAAACACATCGTTTTTTCAGTTCGTGCCCACAAAAGACAAGCTAAAGCCAACAGCTTTCTGTATTTGCGACAACTGAATCATTGTTTGACTCTTTCTTGGTACATGTAGGCAATGTAGTCACAATTTAGACCAACCGCAAGTTTTAGGAGTCAGCAACGTTTTTGGTGATCCGTAGACGACAATTGAGTAATCAATAGTCAGGCATCATGCTATCGTTTTACCATTTAGGCAACATCTTCCTGCCAGGACGCTGTTTAGTGGCATTCTTGGTGTTTTGTTGACGTTTGGGTGTTGTTTCCCGGACATAGATACTACCTTAGCGCCCCTTCCCCGGTTTCGGAGTTGCCGTGTTTCTGGCCCAGGACGCCCGCGGGAGAAAAAGTCGGAGGAAGATTTCTTTCAGCAGGAGATTTTCGATGCGGGGGGCGAAACCGATGGCAATGTCTACGAGGTTGGGAAGGACGGTGAGGACGAGGATGAGGGGGGCGACGACGGCAGCAGCGTGGAAGACATTGATGCTGCAGAGATGCAAGAGCAGGCCGTGGATGAGGCCTTGCACTTGCTGCGCGAATTGGATGCGCAGTGCTCGGGCGAGCAGGCTGAAGAGCCCACAGTTGAGGACGAAGTCCCGCGCGAGGCAGTCGAATTAGCTGAGGCTGTTTCTGGGGAGGGTGGTGGTGATCAGTCCGCGGGCAGCGAACATGATGCGCTGGAGTGGGCACGCGCCCCGGGCGTGGCGGACATCAGATTTCCTCTTGAGCGTGGTGCTGGCGAGATCCGTTACAGCCTGACAGGTGATTATATGAGGGCTTTTTGTCCTATTCACAAAGACTGTGTTCGTCAAAGATCTTGCCGGGCACATGCCTCAGCTAGCACAGCGTTGACTGCGGGCCAGGGGAGGCCCATAGGCGCCCTGGTGGCTTGGCTCCAACAAGCACGCCACCATCGACAACGAAAAGATCACATCGCGGCCCAGACTGCGTCTCATGCCGAACGCATGGAAGCCAGGACGGCTTTCTACCTGCTCGAGGGAGGGATGGACTTTTCAAACGAGTATGAGCGACCTCGCAGAGAGGATGAAGCAGAGGAACCATCCAGCATTCGGTAGTTCCGTTGAAGTCTGATGTTAATTATAAGTACACTGGTGCACAGATCTCGTATGCATGTCTCCTCTTGCTTGAAAAAAAGCGCTTCTCGTGGGTTGGCTGAGCTCCGCATGCAGTGAACCCACTGCTGCCCGCAACACTTGAAGGCTAGGCGGCTAGGCTGCTTGACATCCCATGCGGCGAGGCTCTATCTGGTGTTCTTCAAGAAAGACAAGTACTCCAGGGACCAGGCCAAATGTTTCAAGAACATCGTGGAGGACCTGGCCGAACGTGTTAGAGCTGGGGTTACTTGTGGCCATGGGAATGTTGGTTTCTGGTCATGTTCCGAGTTTAATTTTGGTCAAGGTTTACCGGGACCCTGCTTCGAATCATGTACCCTGCTAACCACTCCTGCTCGTGCGACTACTGCTACTGCTACTGCTACTGCTACTCCTACTAACTGCTACTCCTGCTACTACTACCACTACCATTACCACCACTACTACTAC